ACACACACACACACACACACACACACACACACACACACACACACACACTCATGTGCACATACACACTTGCACTCACACTCAAATGCACACTCACACATACACTTGCACACACACATAGACACACACACAGGCACATACACACACATTCACATACACACACTCACACACGCATGCACATGCCCACACCCACACACATGCATGCACAGACACACATGCAGGCACACCCACACAAATTCTCATCCTGTTCCTCCCTTTGGCACATGAATCCAGCGTCCAGGGGTATCTTCTAGCATCCAGGGGTAGATTTCCTCATTGATTTGTAAGTATGATACCTCAGACACTGAGGTCTAGTCATTAATAGACCCTTACACTCACACCATCATCCACAAACACTGCATTTCCTGAAGCATTAGCTTTCCGTTCTACTGCAGGGCTGTGAGTTAGCTTAATTCCATGGCCTTTGATGGAGGGCCGGGAATAGAAACTGAGTTCCAGCTTGTCAAGCTTCTTTCATCTTGTCCCAAAGAAATTTTTACACCACGACAAGATTCACAATGGACAAAATGGCTTTGCAAAACCATTTCAGTCTTTCTACTAATGATGTACTGAGTTTTTTTTGTGTGTGTGTGGTTGATTTTTACTAAGGTAAGATCCGTGTAGCATAAAAGTCACCAGTTTTATCATTTTAGAACATATAACTGTAGATGTAGACATGCCCATCCTTTCAATGCCGTGTTACACTTGTATGTATCCATGTCTAGCCTTTTTACACGGGGGCTGGGGATTTGAACTCAGATCTTCTTTCATAGCAAGCACTGTCACCCACTGAGCTGTCTCCCCAGGTCTATTTCTTATACATTTATCTAATTGTATTTTTATTACAAAGGCATATTGTAAGAGGGTCACTCAATAGGTTTCATCTTCCATGGAATAATGAACAAAATTTGTACATTGAAGGTTGCTGGATAATTACTGAGAGGACCTTTAAGCCTTACTTTTGTTTCTCTGAGAGAGTCACACAATGTCGTCCAGCTCGCCCTGGATTTGTGATCCCCTGCTTCTTGAGTATGAATGCTACAGCATGACTTCACGTGTAACTGTGCTTGCCCAGGCTCTGCTTCTAACCCTGTCATCTCCAAGTAAAACCTTTTCCTTAGAGAATCCATGCTGAAGTAGTCTGAGAGGCATGATGTATGATTTTTGTTGTTGTTGTTGTGTGTGTGCGCGCAGACATGACATATATATTTATCAAGCGCATATTAAGGACTTAAATGGGAAACAAACATAAAAAAAAGGATGGTTGAAGAAGGGAGAGCTATCGATTCTATCTGAGGGTGCAGTGGGGGGATGGATTAGGAAGGTTTTAGGGAGGCCATGACAGTTATTCCTTCTGCACAAATGCTGGATTCTGTTTGTGCATTGGTCTCTGCAGACAGTGTGAAGACATGTGCTCTCACATTTGACAAGAATAAGGAAGAGAGAGCAGAGGGAGAAGGAAAAGAAGGAATCAAATCTAACATTTATGGGGAACCCATTTGTCAAGCCTATCTCCCATTTAAGCCTCTTAATTCCTCAAAGTATATATTCGTATCCGTATTTATTTTCTCAGAGAAGGAAATGTTCACGTGTCTCCTTCATCGTAGTTGTAAAGCAACTTGTTGATCTTCCAGCTGAGACCAGGGGACATGTCACCTACAACTACAGTCATTTTCTCTACAGCTTTCTAGTTTGCCATTCATTTTGTGACTCCTCTGAACTTGGTTTCAGGAAGACAGCCATGACTTCTCAAAGCCACCATAAGGCGGGGAGGCAATGGACAGGGACAAAAGACAGCTGGAGTCCTTGTACTGCAAGGGCGTAGAGGACCAGGAGGATCAGTGAGGCATAGTGTGTATGAAGGATCCATGACACTCGCTGGAAAATTATTCCCAGCTGCAGAGCAAGACTGAGGGAAATGCAGAGTTCTGAATCTGCTGAGCACGGAACACCGTGAACAGCTATCCAGAACTATCATGATGTAAATGACCCGAGAACAACATGTGGTAATGATTACGGCTTGGAAGACATCAGGCTGACCATTACTTGGAGCAAAGAGTGGCTGTCAACTGGGAAGGAAATGTGATCACTTTCCACTGTATGTGACCAGGAGACCAATCAGATGAGGTATGGCTAAGATAGGGGGAGTATGGAGACACTATATAGGAAGCAGGGGTCAAAGGAGTTTTAGAATACACAGTAGATAGAAGCTCTAAACTTAGAATATTGAAATATCAGAGATAATAGCCAAAGAAATAGAAATGTGATTTTAAAATAAGCCTAGCACGTTTTAGGCTGCAGCAGTGAGATCAAAAGTAAACACATGAACCATCTGGTGGCTTCTCCAGACACTAGCAACTGACAAGGATTCATGTAAAACCTAAGAAAAGAATTATGGTTAAAAAAAAAGATTTAAAATGAAGAGCCAAATCCCAGAAAGAAGAAGAAATGGAGTGTCTATTATGTACTATCCTGTGCTGGATGATTTTCTACTGTTCAATGTGCAAAATGAACCAAAAAAAAAAGCAGGAAATGAAATTGCCCTTTTCTAGATAAGAAATATGGGGCTTGGATTTCAAGTTATCATGGCTGGTTAGCTTACTGAGAACTAAGGTGTACCAGAAAGATAGGATGACTAACAGTTCAAGGTTCACATGGTGGGGGGGGATAGCTCAGTGGATAAGAGCCCTTGCCATCAAGCGTAAAGCCTTGGGTCAGCACAGCACCCATGTGAAACAGGCATGGGTGAGCAAGTTTGCAAACCCCAGCTGTGGGAGCAGGGACAGATGTATTGCTGGGTCTTATGAGTCCCAAGTTCAGTGAGAGGGCCTGTCTCAAAGGAATAAGATGGTGGATTGAACAAGGAGAGCTGACATCCTCCTTTGGCATCCACAACACACCTATAACACACGCACACATATAACATACACACATGCAATACAATACACACACATATGTGTGTGTATATATATATATGTATGTATGTCACAACATACACATATACACACATGCACACATACAACACACACACATGTAACACACACATGCAATACAACACACACGCACATATCACACACACACAGAGTTAATATTCTGAGACAGAACAGAATAAAACCAACCAAGAAGACTTACTCGTGGACCAGGTGCTCCAGGTGGACCCTGAAACATAATCACAAAACAAAACAAAACAAAACAAAACAAAACAAAACAAAACAAAACAAAACAAAACAAAACCCAGTTAGTATATATCTCCAGACTAGGCACTGTATGTTCATCAATGGCAAACAGATATAAATGTAAATGAACTCACAGGGGGTCCTGGTTGACCTCTTGGTCCTTGGGGACCCTAAAAGAAATGAAGACAAAGCACAATATGTAGATTTCTTCAGATTTGGTATCAATCAAGATCCAGTCTCTGCTGTTGCCTGTTGACGTTGTGCAGATCACATATTCACAACTGATTCTGTATTTAAAAGGTCTTGTTCATTAACTATGACCCACAATTCTGAATAATCTGGAAATTTAATTTATATATGTGTGTGTGTGTGTGTGTGTGTGTGTGTGTGTGTGTATGTGTGCATGTGTGGTGGGAGACTGTTTGTTCATATTAACAAATTAAATAAATTATGGCATAAAAATCTTAATTCAGCCTAAGCTATTTCTGTTAGCACCCACCTAACCACCAAAGCTGGGACCCTCATTGTTTTTATATATTGTCTTACTTCGTATATCTCTAAGTTGTGTCCCTCCAAACATCTCCAAGATACTTCTTCATCTTCAGTGTAAATCACATGTTATGGTCTAATTCCCGTGACCTCCAACCTCTGAGTAATATTCTAGCTTCTATCTTTGGGGTGCAATGGGGCTTTTGAGAGGTAACTGGGCCATACAGGTGGACTGTCTATAAAGGGATTGATTAGTGCCCTTAGAAGAAGAGGCCAAGATGACCTGCTCCTCTTCATGCCACGATAAAGGAAGAAGCGGACATTCTGTAAACCAGGAATAGATCGGCCTATCTGTTACACTAATGACAGTCTTCTTAGAAATTGGAATCTGATCATTCACTAGACATCCAATGGCTCTCATTTAGAGGCAAAGCATACACTTCTTAACATCGTGGCTTAACCACTCTACACCGAGCTCCATCCACGAGCTAAGTTGTGTGCTGTATTTCCGTATCACACCCTAGAAAGTGGAACAACTGAGCAACCAGTGAATGAGCAACAGAGGTAAGACCAAAAGGTAAGCCAGCTGAGTACAGAAATGATGTTCTTAGACACCTCATCCCGTTGCCTCCTCTTCAAGGTGTGGTCCTTATCATCACATCCCCTATACCTTCTATAGCCAGCTACCTGCACATCTCTAAAGCCTCCTCCTACCCTTCTCTCCCCCCCCATCTTCTTTTCATTTATTCTTTTCTTCCTGTAGGTTTTCTCTCTGTAACCCATTTGCCTTCAAACTCCCAATTCTCTTGCACCAGCCTCCCTAGTACAGGAATCGTAGGTATGCACCACCATGCCCAGCACCCCAAGTTCTTCATCAATGAGTTCTCTTGCACACACTCTTGACTACCCATTCTTTTCATTGAGACAGGTAGAAAGCTCATTTCTCTCTCAATGTTACTCAAAACTCTACATCCACTGCAACTACCTGGCACATCACTTCCCTTCTCCTCAGCTAACTACCAGTTTGGAAAGTACCTAAGGTTTGACAAAACGTCTGTTGCTTTTTTAGTTTTCTGGAACAAGAATATAGTGCCAGATACATACTAGATGCTCAATATTTCTTATGACATAATTGAACAACATTAGAGTGTTATTAGTTTAGAAAGTAGGAAGGCTACATGGGTATATTTAGATGCCAAAGGTTATGCTGACATTTTTCAAAATGTACTAACGGCAATCACTGTTCATGCCTTACACATCTGCTCAAAGTTAGTTTATTTGATGGTGAATTGAATTTTAATATCATACTAAGTCAGGCTCAGATTATAGTTCGAAGATGGCAAAAAGAAGAATTAATATCCAGCCAGTTTCAAATAATGCTGATACCGTAACTGGCTTCATACTCAGTATGCTTTATTGCTAAGACTGTTAACCCTGGTTTTATTGTGAAGTAGGCTAGAGAACTCTCACTATGATTGATAGACATTTCATCGTTTGCATGGTCTGTGCTTACGAATTTATTTTACTTTTTTATGCATACAAATTTAATCAGAGAGCAACAAAAGCTGTCCTCAGAAGCTGCCTGCTAATTTGCAGGAATGTCATCATTAGTGACAGTCTAAGTTCAAATCATGCCGAGGTTAGAGTGAATTTGATCCATTCTGAATCATCCCTGTGAAAATAGTAAACAGCTGTGCAATTGAACCACTTAACATGTTTCTGACATTTACAAAATCTCTTTGATGGTTCAGTACAAAACATCTATCCTATATTTGATTCCAAAAGAAGAATGTACCATAGAAAAATGAGCAAAGTCTTCTTACTGCTGACACTACCAAATTCATTTCAGTTTGTTCCTTCCTCAGAGTAAGTTAGTTCACCACAAATATGATCCAATGAAAGGCTTAACAGGCAACAAGAGAGGGCACGGCAACCTAACGCAACAATGGCATGAGCAGGTCAAGCAAGCAAACAAACTGTGATTCCAAGCACATGGCGTGTTGTTAGTTCCCTTACTCCTTCAGCTAACACCACTAAGAAGTTTATCTGCTTTGTAGCTACTGCATACAGGGCTTTGTAGATAAACTGTCATTTTCCTGAGGCCAACCACGTTCCTGGAGACAGCTGTGGTAATGGTTTGAGTGGCTGTACAGGAAGCTTCCATTCTGTTTAAATTATGCCGGGTTCTTTCTGTTCCATCCCATAATTTGTATGAATTTTATTTGAACAATATCATAGCTTATCATTTGATTTAAGAAAGCTAGTGTGTGACCTTGAATCTGAGTATGTGGTCTTTCCCTTATAAAAACTCCTTATTTCCTAACCTTTCTGTAAATGAAGTTGTCATTTATCTCAGGAGATATATATAAATAAATATATATCTCCTGATTTTATATATATATATATATATATATATATATATATATATATTATTATATATTATATAATATATATACATAATTTTTAAAATTGATTGTTTTATTTATTTACATTTCAAATGTCTCCCTTCCTGCTTTCCCCTCCACAAAATCCCTATCCCATCCCCTTCCCCTGCCTCTATAAGGGTGCTTCCCCACCCATCCACCCGTTCCTGCCTCAATGCTCTAGCATCCACCTACACTTGGGTATCAAGACTCCATAGGACCAAGGTCATTTCCTCCCACTGATGCCAGATAAGGCCATCCTCTGCTACACATACAGCTGGAGCCATGGGTCCCTCCATGTACACTCTTTGGATGGTGGTTTAGTCCCTGGGAGCTCTGGGAGGTCTGGTTGGTTGATATTGTTGTTTTTTCTATGAGGCTGCAAACCCCTTCAGCTCTTTCAGTCCTTTCCCTAACTCCTCCATTGGGTACCCCATGCTCAGTCCAGTGATTGGCTGCGAGCATCATCTGCATCTGTGTTGGTCAGGCTCTGGCAGAGCCTCTCTTAAGCTGGTTCAGTTTTAGAGTGGTTTTTCCATTTAAACTTGGGGACTTCTATTACTGGATGCCTATTCTCCATCTTCCAACTGTCATGAGTGTGTTTCTCTTGTCTAGTTGTGACAACTGGAGAGTGTTTCTAGTCTTTGCTAAATATCTTTTTGGGGGCTGTGGAGTAAGATTTATTGAACATCAGTGGTGCTAGGATGGCATCAGTGGATTCAAAGGTTTGGAGCCTGACGTCAAGTTAGGAATCTGCTCCTCAAGCTGCCCTGTGGCTCATCATTTCTCTGTAGCTCCCTTACCGAGAAGCTCCCATCCTTCAGTTGTCTGAGAGGCTCTGTGACTTCTGAGAAGACAGTGTTTGTGAATGCAGTGACTTAGGTCCTGATCTTTGTAACTGGATCACAGAGATCTCATTTGAAAAATAAGAGGCTCGGTGAGCATGGTTTTCATGGCCCATCTGAGAGTTTGGTTTTCAGGCTGGAGATGTAGCTCACTGGCAGAGTACTTGCCTAGCATGATTAAAGCTCTAGGTTTGAAAACACACACACACACACACACACACACACACACACACACACACACCACACACACACACACACACACACACACACACACACACACACACACCACAGAGAGTAGATAGATAGAATAAGAATTGTGGTTTTTAAAGCCTTTTTAAAAGAAAAAGAGTATCCTTCATCTTTTATAACTGGAGAAATGTGCTATACCCATGAGTATGAGTTAAACATTTCAATTTTGAAGTTCATATAGGTGTAGGGGAACTTCTAGTTGAATCAAAAAGTTGTATTATTTTTCATTTGAATGAATTATATAATCTAGGAATAAAATATGCATCTATATATTTTAAATTCTTTCCTTTTTAATATGTGTACATGTGTGTGTACACATGAGTGTAGCTGCTCATCAAGGCCAGAACAGGGTGATAAATCTTCTTTAACTGGAGTTACAGGTAGTTATGACATGCTTAATGTGGATATTGGGAACTGAGCTTGGGTCCTCTGGAAGAGCAGCAAGCACTCTTAACCCAACCCACCTCTCCAGCACCTTAAATTCTTAACTTTAAAATGTAGGATCTTTTTTTATACATTAGTTTTCTTATAATGTGTAAACCAAATTAAAGGAAATAAGATAATTCTCATACTCAAAAAGCTATAAAGCAATGCTGACTTAGAGTCTTGTCATAACATACTACAAAAATGAAGCACCCTTCCTAAAATTTGTGGGGAATTGCTCTTTTTATGTTTTCCTACTTCTGTCATGTTAAGTTATGTTTTAAGTTCTGACATTCTGCCAAATCCAGAAGAGAGATAATAGAATGTTATTTTTGGTCTAAGTTAATATTTTTCTTTTAAAATAATTTCACTCTATTATTTCTGACAGTGCTCTTTAAATTTCATCTGAAATTAATTAATTTTGTCCTAAGAGTGTTTTGGAATCCCAGGGAAGTCAGAAAATATTTTTAACTATTCAAAATTAATTTATCAGAAACACAAGAGATTTGGGTTTCCTACGTACTCCTACATACTACCTGTGAGCAGATTTCTTAGGACACCTCAATCTGGAGCTATTTACAGAATATATACATGAGTTCCAGAGTTTAAAAACAAAACCCATAGTCAGCCATACAAGGACCAAGTGTAGAATAGAGAAAAAAAATCTCTCTTACATGGATATATAGAAACAGAGCCCTATAGGTGGGAAGAACTCATTTCCAGCCAATTCTGGAATCTACAGAGTTATGGTGCATGGGATGTAAAACTTCTTCAACAATAAGCACAATCCTATGGCAAGGGAAAACATCTCCCAGATGATATTTGAGCAGAGATCAGGATCCTGGGATAAAGCAGTCATTTGTTGAGCAGGCGAAAGGGATTTCTGGGTAACAAGAAGACACATTCAGGAGAAGAGAAGGAAGTGAGAGCCTCTAGTAGAGGATGTACTGTGTCTTGAGACTGGAAGGAAAATAGAGGTATGTAGGGCTTTTTAAATGAGGGGGCGGAGCTTAGATTTTCTTCGGAGTGTAAGAGTCAGGGAAGGTTGAGGTCAAGGTTTTGTTCCTTGACAACATCTCTTGTACGTGAAGAATGAATTGCAGTGGGCTCGGTGGACAGAATCAATGAAAAGATGCTCAGAACTGGGGTTGATAGCGTGGGATACGGACTGAGTGTTGGTGGCAGAGGTGAGACGAATGGACCGTGCTGGTAGGTAATAGGGGGGTGGGAACTGAGGTCAATTCTGTATTCTGTGCCTTTGCTAGTGCTTTTCCAGGCGGTTTACTTATTTTCCACTTGCATAGCATCACAGAGAAGATCTGGCAGGATCTTAAATGCAAGGATGATAATCCAGTAACTTTCAGTGCGGGGGAATTTATAACAGCAGCTTCGATCACAGAGGAGTCATTACTGGATCAAGCCCAAGCCAGCCTAGTGTTCTTTCTTCTAGCCAGTGTTAATAGTGTTTTCATTATGGACCTGTGCTATTGACCAGGGACTGCAGCTATCAAAGATGGTAGGTAGCTGTAGATTAAAATAGTGATATCAATGATGGCATCAAATACGTACACTGTCCTCTTCCAGACCATTCTCAGGAAGCTAATTTCAGAAACTGAAATAATACTTAAATCATTTGACTTTACCTTCCAGTTACTCATATTTACGGCTCATTTAAAATTCACTGCTTAATGAGTGCCTACTATAAGACAGGTATTGGGGTCCCATCACTAAAACAAACACTAAAAGCAAGATCTTCTATGGAGCTTATAGCCTAGTGAGGGAGACATGCTCAACAAATATATGTAATACAGAAGGTAGCAAGGAACTAGGTTAAGGGAGTCTACAGAGTTTTGGGTGGCGGGGGGACATTGCCCTTACACAGTGGTGTGATGGTTGATATTTATTAGCAGTTAGGTGTTTGAACACAACTCTGGACATATCTGTAAGGATATTACCAGTGATGACTGACTGATCTTGAGTGGGTTGGGACCAGTAGAATGAAAGAAGTACAAGATCAGGAGAGTGCTAAGATTTTCAGCATTGTTGCCTGTCTGCCGTGACAACTGTTCTTCATCACATGCTCTGCTCCTCTGTGTGTGTGTGTGTGTGTGTGTGTGTGTGTGTGTGTGTGTGTGGTGGGGGGCAGGGGCAAACAATCTCAGACTTAGCGCTTTGAAGCCATGACTAAATAAAATCTTTCCTTTCTGAGTTGTCTATGCCACATATTTTAGTCACAAACTATAAAAGAATCTAATACTATAGGCTTATTCAGGAAAAGACTTAGTGGTAAGAGGCCTCCGAAGAAAAGAACTAAGCTACAGGACAGGGGCACTGTGTTCAGTCCTGGGAATTAAGCATTGTTTCCAAAGGTGGGGGCAGGATGTGTCCAAGTTCAGCCTAAGCAAATGGCCTTTAATTAGACATGTCCAGATGAACAGAAACAAAAGGGTTTAAAGGCACAGTATAGAAAGAAGTACCAGGAACAAGAACTAGTGAGGAGGCTGCAGAAAGAACTGGAGAAGGAAGGTATCAGACTGCAGTGTCTAAACATCATAACTGTCTATTGGCTCACCTGGCTTTACAGAACCTTCCAGGCCTGGCTCTTGGACCCTTCAGCCGTGTGAGAGCTCCCTTCTCTGAGTGGGTTAAGCTCGGTCTATGTTTCATTTTGAAGGGAACGGTCAGCCTGGTCCCTAACTTGTTTATTCTAGATGCCATATTTTTATCAGAAATCTAAAATTACAGCCATAACTCACTGAGTTTTCAATGTGTCAGAGCAAGTAATTGGTTTTCACATGAAACGCTTATAACATTCCTGCATTATGACATCGCCATGGGCTCTTGAGGTTTCTTGACCTCACGGAAACTTATGATCCAGCTGCTGTGCTTAGGATAAGCCAGACACACAGAGCCAGGGAGCCATAGGAAGTGAGCTAACACTAACCTGTTTTTCATTCCCATTTCTACTCAGCCTGAGAGATAAGACCTCCCATGTACATGCGATCTGCCTGCTATATTGTCTGTTGGGAAAAAGTCTAATATCATATGTTCCCCTGTCCAGCTAATTAGTGTAATGAATTCACTCCACGTCTACTGTCTCATCATGGGATGCTGTAGTCTGTTCAACATGAATCATTCTTGTGGCAAAACCCAACCAAATGATGGTAACTGTGGGAAATGGCGGATGTGCCCATTTGCATAACTGGGGTGGCCTTTTTACTATCTCTATACATATACAGACAGCTCACATTACCACTATGTATACTGAACAAATATACAACAAAAAATTTATTAAAAATATATGTCTACCATCCACGCCCTCAGGAAGAGGAGAGGAGACAGGGGGAGTAAAACTTTGAAGCTAGCTTGGTCTTGGAACACCACAAACAAGCTAATGTTTTGAGCCTCCCTTGCAGTGTCATTAGTACTGGCTGGGCATAGCATGTGTGTGGAACACGACATGGCAGCACTGTTGCTTGGGCCCTGGAGAAGGCGCATCTCTTCGTGTACACAGTGATCTTGGGAGACTATAATTGGCAGGTCCCTAAGCACATTTAGGGCTCATCAGATCCCACTCTATTGTACCATACAAGTTATTTCTTTTTCTTGACAATTATAATTTAATCTTTTTTTTTGTCCACAAGTTTCAGGCATGACAGGCAAATCTAACATGATCTTTGATTCCCTGGGGATTATCACAGAGAAATAAGGGATGATGTAACCACAAATTTTGTCTCTTAGTTAAACTTACAGTTTCACCTCTGAAGCCTTTTTCACCTCTGGGTCCCTAAAAGAGAGGGAAAAAAGATAGTTGTTCAGTGTTAGGGACCATTGTCTGTTTGATGCAGTAATGGTTGTACTTAGAAACATGTCATTGTGTACTTTGGTCTCATTATCTAGGAAGATGTGTTAATTCATATACCGCCTAGATTTTCTGAGTAATCAGAAATTCCCACAAAACTAAACCAATCAAACAATCTATACTGACGGATTGTGCTGGGGCTCACCACTCCAAGCCCACCCCATAGTGAAACTGAAACACCACAGTGATCTTACTTAGCCAGTGAAGCTGGGACAGCTCTCTGACATTCATTCACAGATACATTTGGAAAGGAAATTCTTCTAATTTTTAAATTTCAATATGTTTCTCTTTGCCTTTGAAATCTGTGTTTCTAGAGCAATCTCTTCATTCTCTTTTGTTTTCTCTTTGTTCCCATTTAATTTTATTTATTGTATGTGCTCAGGTGGGGCACATATGTGGGAGTTGGAGGACAGCACTCAGTAGTAAATTCTCTTCTTCCACTGTGGGGTCCGGGGACTGAACTCAGGCTGGCAGGTTTACATGGCAAGTGCTTTTAGCTGCTCTATTCTCATTCTTTAATGTGTGTTGGGAATAATTTTTCCATACTCAGATTTAAAAATTCAAACTTAAGGTAAGTTTATAAAAAAAGGTTTCAGACTTCTAGACATATACAGTCCCAGCCTGTAAGCCACAGCTGAGCTTTCTAGATCAGTTTTTTAAAAATGATTTTTTCTGCTGTTTTTATATCAACTTTATCTGGGGCTCTAAAAATGGTGAAATGAGAGTCTAATATCTTTCAACCCAATTAATCCCAATTAATTCCATCTTCCTTCCCTGCCACCAGTATAGGAGTGCACATATGGCCAAATGCCAGTCAATTATACATCAGAAATCTCCAACCTTAAGGGTGACTCGGAGCACTCGTGACTAAATTAAGAAACTCATCAGATGTGAAGTCTTTTGTCCTTACTACTGTACTTACTATAAGTCAGTTTGGGTCAGGGTTCCTGTTACTTGCAGTTGTTCTTGTAATGACTAAGTTACAGTACATCCACTCATCTCATTCTGCCCTCTTGTCTGTTACACTGTTCAGCTTCTTTCTTTTTACCGCTACGCGTTCCGTCACAATAACTATGCACCCTCACTGTTAGTCTCCATCACTGCCTCCACCCCTCCTGATTTTCCCTCATGATATTTGTGTGTGTGTGTGTGTGTGTGTGTGTGTGTGTGTGTGTGTGAGAGAGAGAGAGAGAGAGAGAGAGAGAGAGAGAGAGAGAGAGAGAG